GAGCGTGCTATCTCCCCAGTCGAGCCGTCCAATTCGTCCTGCTGAAATAAAAGGTATGCGCAGTATCGTGGCCCCACGAAGTTTATCGTCCAATAAGATTATATCGTTATATCCTAGAACATACTGCGTTTACAATTATATTTCCTTTTGATTAATTTTTTGGAAAAGCTGTATCAAACAAGAAAACATTCTAACTTTTACGTGATAGTAGTATTTTTTCGTACGTGTTTTGAACTGCTTTAGTTATTAAAATTTTCTTTACAGTTAAGCAGAAAATGGAGACATCGAGTAAGCGATGAAGATTCGACGGATAAGTTTATGAATTTATTGGTTTTGAATTTAAGTGAAATAAGTAAGCATACAATAAAGAAAAAATAGAAAGTGACTAAGGTTTTATTTATTTGTTGTAACATTGAGATTTTTTTGATAATAAATAAAAATAATCTAAATCTTAAATATTGTGAAATAACTGCATTTTCAGTAAAAATTAAAACTTTTAAACAAATAGATTAACTTAATTTAACATATTGTAGATCTTTTAATAAAACTTTAGTGGTACTTGAATTAAGACAAATAAAATTGAATTACTATTACTGAAAATACTTAAGTGTCTATGAACTGTAAAAAAAAGTGTTATTACTGATATTATTGTAAAGCCAAGTATTGTTTACTATTTGTTAATAAAAAATCTTACCCGTGATCGCCTTTGTATAGGATCGTCGCCAGGGATAGTGAGGAAGTTCCCGCTCATCTTATATCAGCCACACAACACCAACAAGATTTCGACCGTGAGATTCGGTATAAATAGCGCGCGCTAAAGTTTTTATTGATCGTGCGTACTCAACGGTAGTTAGACATGAAATGGTGTATTTGGATTTTAGACTTATGAATGGGTGATGTTTTTGAAATAGGCCCCCCCTCCCCCTCTGCAGTGTGACGTGACGGTACGGTAGCGTAACCCCTTCACGTGTAGGAGTGTTTACGTCTTGGCGAGAGTTTCTGAATTGGATAGAGCGATCGATTGCGAAAGAGAATGTAAAGAATTATTCCATTAGGACTTAGTTAAAGTTCCGCAAACAACGGTTAAAATGCTGCTGTCTATCAGTATGTCCGAGTTATAAATCAATAACTCAAGAACGGGATTTACAAACTCATTTGGATATGTATTTTGAGTAGAATGTTGATATAAAACCGAATATTGAATTAAAAATTATTTTTCAATGAAAGAAGAGCCCCATAAATGAAATAGGAAGATAAAATAGTTCTCTTACTTACCCTAGCAACCGAGCATACGTGGTTTCATTGTTTAGAGCTAAATGACTTTTATAGTACAACAAAAATTTTATTTATTTTTGTCTTTAAAACTATAGTTGTCAGTTCTAGCCTTTTTTGAAATGATTAGGTGAAAATAAATTTAGAATATTTTGGTACGATTTCTGTGACGAAACCCTAACGGAAAAGGAACGAAGGCAGGTTTCAAACAGCAAAAAAAAAGGGAACACCCAACCCCCCCCCCACCGAAGCCCGTGTCGCACTAGATCAGTTTTACGTGATAGAGCCTGCATCTATGTTAGCTATACGTATTACGCTTACACAGAATAACAGCGTGCACAATAGCAGATTATTGATGCTGTGTTTCGTATGGTGAGATCTTTTTACTGGAAACGAGGCATTCCAAATTAGTACTTATATCAGATGTCTAACATCCGTAGATGTTAGTGCTTGTGTGTCACTCTTATTCTTTAAAAAAAGATATCAGCGATAATCATTGCTGACGAGAAAATAATATTTTATCTAAAATAAATAAAAACGAAACATATATTTGAAATACGGATATTTATTTATTTTTTTCATAAAAATTCTAAATTCAATAATGTGTTTAAACATGTAACATTTACATATATGCATTTATACAAAGATATATGCAATGTTTAGTGATATTTAATACTAAAACTGGAGCGCAACAGACTTACAAAGATGCCGACGTATGTGATCATCACATTTTACACTTAAAAAGTAATAATAATTACCAAGTATTGTCAAATGGTAAAGATTGTTTATTTTGTTAATACATCTTGTTATTAACGTCATATAATATTAAGATGAGATTAGAATGAATACTGTGCGCTTTTCCTTTACTCTATCATGAATCGTGATATCAACATAAATGCGAACATTCGCGGGGCCAGCCCATATCAGATAAAGAAATGGTTTTACAGCTATTTAGTGTAAATAGGCCCCATTATGTATATATCAGGATTCCAGCTTGTTGAATATACTTCCTTGATGCAGTGGACGTACCTACTATTTGTAAATATATACAAATGGATGAATCCAACAATGAGATTATTTTCATCAATGAAAAGTGTGAATCAAACTATTCCACATTAATCACTTCAAGATGACTGAATAACAATCGATTAAATTAATACCTGTCAGCGATCTATTCCTTCAATTTCCCTCTACCAAATTAAACGGTAACAAATGTAACACACATGTAAAATACAAATTTTGGAATATTCAATTATTTTACGTTAATTATTGCAATGGACAAAGAATTTTTGTATTTTGTATTAACGTTTAAAACTATCTTAAGTGTTTTTTTAATTAGAATAAAACAAAAAACTACTTAAAAAACAAACTGTCTCTACACCACTAGTAGAATCAGTCAACGCGGAAAATACAAAAGTTTCGATTAAAAAAAATGTTTTAATAGACAAGAAGATTAAATATTATTAAATATACATTATTGAGATTTGGACTAGACAAACCACATTCTCTATCTACAGATATGTAATCCATGATAAATGCTAATATTTAAAAATCTAACTCCCGTGTCGGAAATGTAATGTGCTTTTTATTCGTTGCATATTTTCAATACCTTGGAGAAAGAAATTATAAACATACATAAAACTAATCCAATGTCAGTCTAAAAACATAACTTTTTATATTGATCCAAAAATTTCATAATTTTTAGAAAGGCAAAACACACTTTTAAAAGTCCTTTCCTACTCGTATTCGTATGCTATTTTAACCGTTCCGTGTTCATTAATGTAGAATAGACTACTTAACGTCGATTCAGCAGTTAAACTGAGTTAAAACTGAAACGAGCCATAAACTGTTTCAAAGGTTTCCTAATTTAAAACTGCACGCGCCTCCCCTATACGTTTGGTGGGTTTTATTACTTTTATCATGTTAAATATATTAGAACAGCTCAAATCTACTAAAACACAATAGAAATGGCGCACATATTCAGATTTTTATGATATCAAATACGGTAAACGTGACAAAATCTACCAAAACTACTAGGAAATATCGTGCAGCTTTAAATAAGGCGATCGCTACTTGTTTTAATAACATCCTATGTGTTTCAATTTTATATTCACTTATTACTATGTACTAAAAACGCTATCAAAACTGGTTCATTTGGTCTGTGGCAAAAGTATTGTAAAAATCGTATACTTTTCGAGGTTAGAACGTTTGCACTATAAGTCTAGGTATTGAAAATACACACGACTGTAAATTTTGTATTTATTGCCATACACCGTGTATTTGTAATTGAGCTATGTTTATAACAAAATGTAACACGTACTGTGTGTCTGTGAACAGTTTTACCTCCTACAATGTTAGATTAATTTATAACAAAATGCATTTGAGCACTGATCCTCTTGATACATTTCATACAATTAAAATATTATCGCCGCCTCCATTACATTTTGGACACATACCGTACCTATCAGCGCCCGGACGTCAAACTATACCTTGAAGCCAAGTTTAACAATAAACACCCGTGAACTTGATTCGCTAAACAATTTCTCATAAACACCACGACAGTTACGATGTATTTAAATTTTATAACAATATCACAATTTTCAATAATATACAAAAAGACGTAGGAAATTTTCATGTTTTACAAGACAAGCGTATTAAAGTAAGGGTAAAGATGTGCTATACGTATAATTTAAACAACATTTTTTGTTGATATTTACATCATTAAATTACTAAAACAATAAAGATTACAAATTACATGCAGTTCACTCAAAACGGGATAAGAAATGGGACTATATTGAATATATGACCAAATGGTACTGTTTCTAAACATTTATTTTGCAAGCGCTGTTTCGATTATTTCGAGGGTAACATACATACCAAGCATTTTAGAAATCAAATTGTCAAAACTTCGTCACTCTTCACCATACAATTGTTTCACTATATATTCGCGCTCCTATATATTCCTCGAAGCATATTATGTATTCCAACAAGTGGAGGAAATAATTTACATAAGGCCATATATTAAATACTGTACAAATATAACGATTAGATGATCGATTAGATAAATAATTATGCAGATTTAATATTAAACATTAAGGATTAGGTAATGCATCCATATTTACGAAAGTTTGGTCCATATATAAGTATCAATACATGATATTTGCATGTTATCGATAACTTCACATATTTTAGGCACTCAGTAAAAACTGCAATTACAAACAGAATTATTTCTATACATACATAATATATAGTATAGACGGAAATCGTAAAATTTTTGTAAGCTTATTGAAAAACTAATAAATTTAAGAACAGACAAAGAATTTCTACTGAATGTCTAAAGAAAAGTAGTGGCGTTCGGCCGCTTCCAGTCAGCCCAGTTTGAAATTATACAATAATTTGTGCAAAACGTTCAACTATTCGCAAAACTTAACGATGTAATTTATTTACAAAAATAATTACGGCTTACGAAATCGGTTAAAACGATTGCTGACTGGAAATCACCGAAGTACTGGAAGATAATCTTCAGTGTTAATTTCTTCGAAAATAGTAAGTATAGAGTGCTTCAAACTCAGCACATCACTTAGACAAAGTTTAATCTTGTACGTATTGTTCAAGCCTCTCGCAACTATGACAATAACATCACAACCGGCTCCTTTATACCGTCTTTTTAGAGTCTTATTTACTATAATTCCGCGGAACTTTTTATCAGGAGATGTCTCTTGATGCGTTCACGATGGCCCTTGATTGCCGCTGGGAGCTTCTGCTCGCATTTCTGACTTAAGCTTAACAAATTCTCTTGCAACTTCATCGCTGTGCCTCTGAGACAAAATTCTAAGAATCGTCCAACCAGTTTCGTCCATTTTAACACGCGTACCCAATGGCAGCCAGCAGGCGCATGAACCCTGTAATATTAAAATTTCTTTTGTATAAAAAATGCAAACACAATGTCCTCTAGACCGAATTTAGATACCGGTAGCCAGTATCAATGGACACTAACTACTTGCGTAGGACAGAATTGAAATGAAAGAGTGCGTTGCACCGTGCACGCAAGCATAGGTAAACTCTTTATTCTCTCACTCCTATTGTCCTATGCGACGGTAATCCAACATTATAGAAGAGAGATCAAGAACGCGCTTTCCGAGGAACGGGGATGAAACTTCGCCAACTGTCTGATTCTAGGCTGCTACACCTAGAATTAGACAGTCATCAAATCGGACAGCTTAATCAGAAAGATGGCGATGATGAGAATTTCTTGTCAGAAAACGGGAGTGGAAAATGGAAAACCACATGAACAGTGATCGCAATCTTGACCACTAGACCAACTAGGCAGTCAAAAAACAACATCAAACTCAACTTATGTACATATTAAACTATAGGATGTGAACAACATCATATTATACGTAATCTGTTTGAAGATCACTGGCGTATGATCAGTTTATTTTCATTTCGAGGATGAAGGTAACTATATTAAGTAATAGAACTAATAGAACTTTTCTGTTTAGGAGTCAGAGACTACTTTCTCAGCGATATAACGTAAGGTACTTTAAGGAATGAATGATTATTAAAAAACATTTACCTGTTCGGCTATATCAGCAAGGCGCATGACGGCGACACCGACGAGCCGGTCTTCGCGCGCAAAGCAATAATCTCGCACGCACACGTGTAGCTCGAACAGTTCAAGCTGCTCCGTCGCACTCACCATGCTGGACGGGAAACAATAGTTAAAAAGTTTTTTCATTGAATAAGGGTGACATGATGATGACAATCGACTTTATTTATCGATCATTCATGACGTGACATGAGATGATCGATGAATATAGCAGATTGAACATTTGTATTTTTATTATTTTAATGTAAGACACATAATACGTAATTGCAAAAGAAATGGGTCACAGTTTTTTCTCACTTGCAATGTTTAGCTTTATTACATTTGAAACCCCGTCCTTATGCTAGTAACATTTTTTTTGTAAAATAAGGATGACAAAAGGCTACACCATAATGACTATATATAGACTACTACACCTGATGATAAGTGGATGTTGCGGCAAGTAGACATCCACATTTATCCAGGATTAAGAATCAAAGTGCGTTGTCATTCCTGAGGACTAAGATGACTGAAGAATGCCTTGTTTCCAGTAAAAAGTGTCTTCGTTTCTTTACGCTCACCACACAAAATAGCAGCATTAAGTAACTATTTCACGCTGGTATTCTGTGATATGGTATAGTATTCTTCCCCCGTAGAGCGGACCCATTCGTGCTACAACCATAATATAGCTTCAGTGCGGCTCTTCCTCTTAAAACTTCCAATTGTGGCCGCGTCAAGGAATCCATCACCTTATTTCGTTTCGTGAGTGTCATGAGCTAATGAGATATACCAAAAACATCTTATGGCATTTGATAGATAGGGGTACAATCATCTCGTTTACACTGGTCGTAAAATAATCCAGTCCAGCGACGTTAAGCAGCGTCAAAGGTGGGAAACGTCTTGTACTATGGTATTCAATACGCCTGACTAGTTTAACGATTTAGACAAACTCGCTTTTCAGTGTAGGAGGTAAGCTAATGAAGAAGAAGAAAGTAAAATTCACGCAGCGGGTAAGTGTGCTTAATCTAAATATATTTTTTCCTTCTTTTCTACAAGAAAGGGCTCTGTTTGTGTGTTTGAAGTCACATTAAGCTTGCTTTTTTAATTTTTAAAACAAATAGCTACCTTCACAGCAAAAGTAGTTACTACAACTGGCAGCTGAAAATAATCTTTCATAAAACTGAAGTTCCAAGAACTGTTCAAAACGTCTCACGATTCATGTGCTAGCGGTTTGTACAAAATATATTTATTTGAAGTATTTTTGACATATATCTTAATTATGTCTATGGCTAGTGCTTCGTAGTTACATCGATCTTTGAGGAGTTCAATATAATGCTCCTGCACTAATTGCGCCCTTATTGCTTGCCAGATTAGTTCTCTAGGAATTCGGTCGAATGCCTTTTCAAGGTCAATGAAAATAAGATGAAGAGCTTGTTTGCGTGACTTGTACTTTCCTATAAGTATTTTTACAGAGTGAATTGCATCTGTAGTGCCCATGCCGCTAGTGAATCCACATTGGTTCGGTGTAATTTTTGTAATTTTTGCCAGTCTTTTGACGAGGACACATTCCCAGAACTTAAGGGTCTGAGAAGTTAGTTTAATTGCTCTACAATTTTCACAGTCCGCAACATCCCCTTTATTTTTGTATAGGGGTATTAAATTGTTATTTCTCCACATATCTGGTATTTTGGTACTTTTAAGGATTACATTAAATAGATTTGTCAGCCATGCTACGCCGGTATTGCCCACATTTTTCCATAGTTCAGCTGGAATCTCATCCGGTCCGCTTGCTTTCCTTTTTTTTTCATTCTTTGAATGGCTGCCTTTACTTCCTGGGGTGAAATTTCCTCAATCGGTCCTTCCGTAGATCCGAGGGATGTGAGTGGTTCCTGGGGAAATTTGTCATTCAGTAGTGTTTGGTAGTATTCTCGCCATCTCTTACTAATTTCTTTGTTTGTAATTAACAATTTACTGAATGAGTCTTTGATATATTTGTTACGTTTGATATCTTTTGTTTGGTTATTTCGATGTTTTGCTAATTTAAATATTTCTGCGTCTGATTTTGCGTTTTCTAATTCTTTGTAAAAGTGATCTTTTGATAGTGCTTTTGTTACTGCAACACATTTTTTAGCTCTCTTTTTAATTATATTGTAATCCAGTCGATCGCTGTCACTTTTTGATTGTTGCCATTTTTTGAAAGATTCTTCCTTCTCCAACAACAGAGATTTAACATTCTCATCCCACCAAGTAGGATCTTTATGAATCCTCAATTTTCCTTTTGTTAATAGAAAAATTGAGGATTCATAAACCTAGAGTTGTTCTGGCGGTTTTTAGGCAAAATATGTGGAATTCATTCCATAGAGTGTTGCTGTCTTTTGGGACTTGAAGTGTCTCTTTGAAGTATTTATCAACCTGATCAATAAATAAAGTGCCTTTATCCTTGTGTATGTTATACCATTTTATGCGGGGTTCATGATTTTGATATTTCTCTTTTGTATTCCAGTTTGGCATTTTCAGACAGGTTACCAGTAGTCTGTGTTGGGTTGTTAGTGGAATCCCTGGTATAACTTTACAGTCCCTAAAATTGACATTGACAAAGATAAAAGTCTATTTGAGAGGCCGAACTACCACTTTTGTAGGTGATGAGGTGTTCATCTTTTTTTTGAAGTAAGTGTTAACGATCGGGAGATCAAATTGAGTCGCTAGATTTATTATATACTGACCTTGGCTATTAGAGGTGCCATATCCAAAATTCCCATGTATGTTTGAGTTTTCAGGTGCTTTCCTACATGGCCATTCAAATCCCCTGCTATAATTTTTTTCTCGTCTAAAGGTATGGTCACAAAAAAGGCTTCTAGGTTTCCCCAGAACAGATCTTTTTTTCTTCATTGCTACATCCAACTTGAGGGGCCTATACTGAGACTATGTTTAGAGTTAATTTGTTGTCTAAAGCTAATTTCACGTACATAATTCTGTCGCTTATTCTTTCTATCTATATGTATTAGGTAGGTATATTTTCACTAATATATATATATATATATATATATATATATATATATATATATATATATATATAGTTAATATACGCCTATAATTAACAAATGAATATATACTGCTTGTTCATATTTCTATATGAGGAGGCCAAAATTGTTTAGAAATTTTTCTTTTTTTACGACGTAGGTTAATCTATATGTATTAGGTAGGTATATTTTTACTAAATATTAACAATCTACTTCAAGCACTAAAATTTCTACATTATTGCAACGATTACATTCAACGACACTATAAGACACGATCGATACCATGCCTAGTCTTTGAATAAGCATTTTCACATCATATTTACTACCTTTTTACTATAGTAAATTCTATTGATATTGTTATCAGAATAATTTTACATTTCGCTTCCAACTATTTAACTTTCAAGTACTCTACAATCTGTTCATAATAATAGCCTACGGATTACAACGGACAGATTTTTAATGTCCTTCGGATTTAAAACTGTAGTTCATTGCGAAAAAAGATACTTACAAATGAAAAGTCTCATTGAACTTCGGACTCCAGTTGTTGCTCTTTGACTTGGTGGCGAATTTTCTCTTCTTATCCGCGAGATGCGGACCGATTAGGTTCACCTCTATGAATGGACGGAACATGCCGCTGGCGATAACCCACTTTAAGTCGTTAGCTGCGACCACTGGAATATTGATTGTTAGTTATATTTCAAATGTCTTTATTTAGTTAGTAATTTAAAAGTGAGAATCGAGTTTGCAATCAACTCATAGCAGTGGAAGCCACATATTCTTTGTCATTTCCGGTGACGTATGCTGCCTTTAATTAACATGCTCTCTTACCCTTCCAACCGGAACAAGCTGTGGTTTCACTACTGCTTAGCGGTAGATACAAACCTTCCAAAAAGCACCATACCCCCCCCCCCCCCGTTGCCCAATTTGCTTCGCGAAAAAATCATATTTTCTTTACATCCATTATCATTTAATAGCTGGATATAATGGTCCTTTCACCATCATCTTCGTCATCATAATTCTATCGTGTATGTATCGTATTGTAAATTAAACGATAATAATATTTTGAGTAGTTATCAATTTTTTAAATTGTTTTAGCATTTTCTTCAGTTGCCTACTTCGACACCCATGGGATAAGATTGGGTAGTGGATTCTACCACGCCGCCACTATGCGGTGAAAAGCGACCGTTTTATGAGGGGATCCATCATCACGTTTTATTAAGTGTGCCACCATAAGAGGTTACTACTAGAAATGATCGAAAAATATCATACTTTCCGATAGATGGCGGTACCGGTATCACTATGTAGTGTAAGCCAGATATAAAATATTATAAATATAGTGCTTGCAATTCACAAGTGCGGGTGCACACTGTCACACTGTGCTCGTATATGTCGAACCATATCCAAAGGTCGATTGCACTCGTTTGCTTTTTTTTTCTTTTGCATTGCAAGAACTATAACAGGTATTGCGATGGACTACCTGCCGAGCGTATCGATTATGGCATATCTCTCCCACAATATGTATTAAGGATATTAAGAGGCCCGTGTCCAGTCCAGCTGTTATAGCTATTAGCTATTACAGACTGAGGAAAAAGAAGAAGAAATTCTAATTAATGGCTTTGTAAGTGCTTACCTTTGACAGTGATCTTGTGCTCTCCAGTTCCCGGATGAGTGAACAGATCCACTTGAAGTGACACTTCTCCAACGCTGCCCTCCTCCGCCACTGCCGCATCTAAACTCATATCAATCAATAATGTGCGGAACATTTCTTTCACTTACATTTTTATTAAAATATCCATCAATTAAGAGAAAACTAGGTATTATTGAGTTAATTAGATTGGACGAATATATTTTTGGAACGAAGTTCCTTATCGCGCGTTGCGAAAGGGGACTAGACGGAAAAAATTAAGACCAAAAGTTGTAACGACACTTTTTGCTATAGTTGTGGGCCGTGCGGCGTGCGTGTGTTTCTCTGTCTGTCTGTCTGTCTCTCTCTCTCTCTCTCTTTCTCTCTCTCTCTCTCATAGAAAGCAAGCCAGTTATTTTCGCTTCGTCTTTCTATTTCCCATTGAACAGTGTGGTGTCGCGACGATTTTTTTTGTTGAGTGTATACAGGTTTTTTGTACATAATAAATAATAAAAAATAATAACAATAATGAATCCTGACAGTGTTTCTGAACAAGTTCCGGATATTGTTAATGGAGTTAGGTAAGTAGAGATTTTATACAGACAATAATAAATGCTTATGTAATTTTAGAAAGTACGCATTATAGCTTCTCTACTTTTGTGCTAACCAAGTCATACGCGCTATAAACTCTCCATCATTGTGTGTTTAGCAAGTGTACGCGTCATAACTCCAATAAATTTAAAAGCAAATTATATGTTAATATTACAATATCAATGCGTATGTATTTAGCAAGCCGTGCGTGTTCTAACCTATACGCTGTTGTGTTTACGAAGTGGAGAGTATATATATATAAATATATATATATATATATATATATATATATATATATATATATATATATGTGTGTGTGTGTGTGTATATGTTGTATAAAGCAACTTCGTTCCCTCCGGGTGTCCCTTGACACCTCTCAAGTTTTTTTAAATAAAATTCTAACAGATTTCCGCGACTTCACCCGTGCGTGGATTTATTATTTCATGGTAATCTTTTTCGCGCGTAACCCTAATTCTTTTCCTAACAATAAAAGTAGCCTATGTTACTCCTTAGAATATCAACTATCTGCCAGTGAAAGTACTGTCAAAGTCGGTCCAGCTATTTCGGAGATTAGCCGGAACATACAGGCACACAAGCAGACAAACAAAAATTAAAAAAAATTGTTGTAAGTCCGTATATACATTCATATAAATTGTGGCTGGCATTTTAGTAAAAGCTGTAATTTTGACATTACAAACAGATATTTCAAATTTATTTATTTGTTTAGACTTTTTGTATTTAAAATTTTAAAATATTTATAGTAAGTATACAATTCTATACGTATTAAAGTTACAGCATAGGTATTATACATACATATACGTCACGCCAGTTATCCTCATGCGGAAAAGCAGAGCTCAATGCGCAGTGAGCCACTCGGACCATGTTTAGCCAAAAAATGGGTACATATGGAAAACTGTGGAAAAAGTGATAGGTGGCTAGCACTTCGCCTACACAATCACAAATCCAATATCCTATTAGTCGCCTTTTACGAATTGTTAGGTAAGTAATACAGTAGGCACATTCTTTTTTGTTAAAGTCCCTAAGTCCCATAAAGCCCCAGATCACATGTAAATGGCAAATGGTATTAACATGTTTATTTAAAAAAAATGGTGAGATTTCATAATATTTTCTTTAAATTTAGGTAATGAAATAAGTTACAAGACTTAGGAGAGTGTAGTGTCAATCTTATCAAGAATATTAAGTAAGTTTTTTAGATTTGGCTAATATTACTTTAGACAGGTCGCGTATTTATACTTTGACAAATGAAATGTTTTAAGAGTATAATAAATTACTATAATATATTTAATCAAACCTTGGTTCTGTTGACTCGTTACAAATGTCCTGATCAACGTATCGGTAGTCTGCGTGTACAGACTAAGCGCGTATCTCAGAGACTGCAGCTCAGGGCTTTTCTCCAAAAAGGTTTTCTTAAGACCATTGCCTCCCGCGTGGAAATACAGTTTGATAGTATCTAAGGCAGCGTCGAGCACGGCGCACTGCTTCGGCGTTAGACTCTTCTCGGCCGATAAATGCTATTAAATACAAAGAGATTTTTATTATGCTTTTATCGTCAAAAATAGTTGATAATAATTAGTCTCATTTTTATATTAAAGTCTGCGATGCTAACCAAAATAAATGTAGAGTATGGAATTTGACATAAAATATTAAATTTCGCGAAGTCTGTGGCGCCGTGGCTAAGGTACTCCTTTCGTGACGAAGACTTCTTTAAAACCGAAACTAACAATAAACTACGTTTCGTAATTAGGCCGTTAAAGTAAAATTTCTTTTTCAAACCTTAGCCAATTCATAGCTGGTCGTCATGGTTCATGTGTGTCGTCAAGAGATTTCAAAATTTTCAGTAATACTTGGGATTTCGAACATGCTACAAGCTTTCCTCATTACCCGAGATCCAATTGCCTGGCGGAAAGAGACCTAGGGACCGTAAAGTCAATACTAATTAGGTTACACGAAAGACTGGCAACTGGCGCTTCTTAATTTTAGGACTATATAATACTCAAATGACAGGAGAGTATTCACCTGCCCAGATGTTAATGAACCGTAGGCTTAATACTAGATCACCGGTTCATCAAGATGCCCAACGTCTAAAAACACGTCAACGCTCGCTTATTAAAAGAAAATAGTATACAGATATGTGTTAAAGTAAAATAGTATTATAACAAGGTTACTAAACCATTAATATCAATAAAACCAGTTAAAACGGTACGAATGGGGGATAAAAGAACATGGAAAAAAGCTAAAGTTGTAGCTCGAGCTTGAGGTGAGCGTTCTTATGTTTTTTATATGATAAGGGTGATAAACGAACATACAGTCCACATGATGGTAAGTGGTTCCATTGGACCATAGACATCTACATTTATCTTCGATTACGAATCTAAATGCAGATGCCTTGTCATCCGTGAGGACTAAGATGGAATGCCTCCTTTCCAGTAAAATGGATCTGTAGTTCTCTACACTCACCATATGAAAGACAACAGCGTAGAGCTGCTATTTTACGCTGGTATTCTGTGAGAGCCTGCTACTACCCTGGTCGAGCAGACCCATTCGTGCTACAACTATACTAGTAACATAACTGCAGCATGGCTCTACCACGTAGAAACCTCTTATTGGATAGAAACTAAAAATGGACGAGTTTTGCCCAGTGACAGACAGCATATTATGAAGTAAGCTACACTAACGGCGGATGATAACCACTCTACGGAAAAAAATCATTAAAGGAAAGTGCGTTTTAATACGTGGTAGAGCCACGCTGCAGCTATATTATGGTTGTAGCACGAATGGGTCGGCTTGACCGGAGTAGGACCACACTCTCACAGAATACTAGCGTAGAATACCATCTTAATACTGCTGCGTTTCTTATGGTGAGTGTAGAGATCCGAAGACCCTTTTATACTGGAAACGAGGTATTCCATCTTAGTCCTCAGGGGTGACAACGCATTTGCGATTTGATTCTTAATTGAGGATAAATGTAGATGTCTATGGGCCACAGCATCCTCTTACTATCAGGTGGACTGTGTGCTCGTTTGTCACCCTCATTCAATAAAAAAGAGTAAGCAATTAGACTGGGATGATTTCAAAGATACTGGACCAAATTTATTACCAAGCGGGACTAGCAACCAATTGCCATCACCAGTAAGCGGGTATCGCGCTGTCCAGACCGCTTTGAGGTTAAGCAGTAATGGTAAAATAACTAAGTAAATAATAATGCAATAATATCTACTGTGACAGATATATTAATTCAATTTGTCGATTTTCAGAAAATGTTTTACTGATCATTATTTTATTGCATGAACTATCCCACCTTTCTTTTAATTTATTATTATTATATATTACATGTTTATTTTGTACAATTACATTTTAATACTCATATAATAGTTACAATAAATCATGAAATATTTATTGTAACTATTATATGAGTATTCATATAAGAGTAGTGATAATGATTTTTTTATCAATATATTTTATTTTAATGATTTTGTTATTTGCATGAAATTGTATCAAAGCTTGATAACAATAAAATATATTAAAAAAATATAATTATGTAATAAGATTTTAAAAAGACGTTGTCGAGCTTTTTAAATTATTTCTTCAGTGTTAACAATCAAGACATTTAATGAATATTCACAATTCGCAACGTTACACTTATTGATCCATAGTTATAAACAATGTGTTAAATGTCGAATGCAAAAAATATCATAACGCATTAATGATGGTTATAATGAACTGAAGGATAAAATGACATGTAAAGCTCACCTACCGCTCATGCCCATCGCTTTGGGGCACTTCCTTAGTAAGAAAAGGAATGTGCCCAGCAGTGGGACGTATATAGATGTTACTTAACCTAAATTAAAAAATATTTTACCTCTTTAGAGATGTCCATCACACCGGAGAGCGCATGCTTCACATCCTGTTTCCCAACCGTGCTCTTAAAAAGTTGAGTCATGTCTTCTATTTTCGCATTTGCCGCGAGGTTCTTTGCATTGTTTGTAAGATTTTTCAGCATCATCTGATATATAAACACACAGTTAGAATAACCGCTTCTCTTAATAAAAAATTGTAAGCTACCATAAAATTAAACTGGAGTTATAATATTAAAATTCTGCACGTACCGTTTTGTCAGTCATGGGTGGAAGCACTACAGTTTTTTCTAATATTTTCATAACAATTTTCCACAATTCCTTGAGCAACCGCTTCAGCACTGTCTTTTCGCAAGATTCAGCGTACATAGTTAAAGAGCCATCCTGCAAATTAAGCGTATTTATGAGGTTACGGGTGCCAAAATTATTGTTTTATAGTTTTGCTATATTAATGAAGATTTTTAGTTTGTCTATACTTTGTACTAAATATTATTTATTTATTAAAATTATTTAGTTATTAATTGCAGCGTTTTATGTTGTTATTACAAATTTTAAGTAACTAATAAAGATCCTCTGAATCGAGTCAAGGTATGGTTTTTTAAAAGACAGAAACTGTATTTGCCAATTTCATATAATAAATAATAACTCTAAGTTGATTTATGTTAAAGTTTTATATTCTATTACTAATGTGCTATAATCTATTGAAACCACGGTAAACACTTTCTCCTCCCATCCTTTTCTATATAGTATATAGAGTAGTATTAATTTTAATTTAGTACTATACTATACCAAAATAGATACTTGTTTGGTTAGATCTCTAATGTCTACCTTTTTAACCAAGTTCGAAAGACAAGGTCTTCTTCTTTTATTAAATAGGTTCAGGGGTAGGTCGACTCAAATAATAAAAAAAGATTGGAAAATTAGTAAATAAAGATTTTAATTTAACTATTCAGATGAGAATCCAGTCGTTATCTTGAAATTGTTGTTAATTATTAGTTCACTCAAAATGTAAAAAAACTTTTTAATAAAATGAAAAAACCGTTTTCAAAAACTAAAAAGAAGAAAATAATTAAACTAAAAAGAACAAAATAATTAAACTAAAAAGAACAAAAACTAAAATAATTTTTTAAAAATACCGGTATTTAGTTGATATTAAAAGGTTAATTTTTAATACATATTTTTCACTAATAAATTTGATGGAAACCATGTATCTTACCAGTATATCCATCAGGGGACGTAGCACCTCATCAGCCTCATGGTGTGCGGGTGGTTGTGGAGCTCCAGGCGCTCCCCCACCGCCCACTTTTTGTAGTAGTTCCCCTAATTCCTTTACACTTGCTGTAATGCGAACCTCCAGACTGAAAATAAACAAAATATTGAGAAAACTTACTTATTTTTATTTTTTTAAACTAAATACCTTATCCGAAGCTAAATACTCAATAAAATCTGTTAATAAAGTTGTGAAGTAGTTACTAAGTATTAGTATTTTGTACATTGATTGTCTCGACGTACCGAATCGGTACATTCTTATAAATTTCAAAGATACTTTGGGTGCGTTCGGCAGAAAAAAGCGCTAGCAAGCGCTTGTAAACAAAATGGCGATCGTAAGCGGTAAGCGCTGTCAAATCGTATGTAGCTATTTTCCTCTAGGACACGAAGTCAGTTTTAACCGTGGAACCTAACCTAATTTAAATATATATTTGTAAAGTATTCATATTAAAAACTTACCAATCATGAATTTTTAATGACATCTATATGTCTATTCATGTCATTATATTACTTAAAACTAATATTGCACAAAAAACTTATAAACTTTACTTCAAAACAAACAATGAAATAAGCAAAATGGCGGATTGTGTCAGCGCTACTGAAGTAGCAATCGTGTCCTGGCCGAAAACTATTTCAGCGCTTGTAAGCGCTTGCTAGCGCTTTTTTCTGCCAAACGCACCCTTTGATCTTCTTTTTGTTTATTATACGTCGCATTGTGGTGGTGTGTTTATTATACGGTCACATTTGACGTATGTAAGAATGAGATGAACACTATTGCTGCTGATTGTCCAAACAATGAATACATTTTTGAATTTTTAAACACAACGATATGATTTACCACAAATATAGGCGAAATAAAACACAACACAAACATTTTCAAAATTACAGTTGTACGAATAAAATTCATTGTTTCATTATTATGTTTAGTCAGGCTATAAATTATTAGATCGATAACGTATATCTGTTGATCGAAAAATCAGGCTTGAGTGTTAAACCATTAGTTATCACTATAACTAAGTTTTAAAGTTTTTATAGAATAATATATAAAGAAAAGAGAGTTTTACCTATTAGCAAACATAGACGCAAGCTCATCCAGTGTACTGTTTAAGCTCTGCTGTAAATCGTGCAAAATGTCAGCCGCGTCTCGTTCTAATTTAGTACCACCCATTGCCTCAAACATTTTTTCTAGTTGAACGCGTAGTTGTTGTATGTTGTTCATTAGAATACATGCCTGGAAATTAATTTTAATTTTAACAAATAGAATATTTTTTAACTTCCTGCTATGAAAATTAATAATTTTCAAAAGTAGGAAGTTATAGATTTCGGTCCAATTTTGAGAATGCGAGTTTTCATCAGATCTCCATGTTTTGAAGTGCTAGGAAGCCGTTCAGACTATTCCCGACTGGACGTCAGGTCGTGTGTGTGTGTGTGTGTGTGTGTGTGTGTGTGTGTGTGTGTGTGTGTGTGTGTGTGTGTGTGTGTGTGTGTGTGTGTGTGTGTGTGTGTGTGTGTGTGTGTGTGTGTGTGTGTGTGTGTGTGTGTGTTTGTGTTTTTTGTGAAGTTTTTATTGAGACTTCGAGCTGATTAGATTTTCAAGTCAATCGGTCGAGCCGTTTCAAAGATTTTCAAAAAATAAAAACAAAAAACAAAAGTTATATAGATTTTGAAGCGTTGCGTTCGAAAATAAGCGGGAAGTTCCAGGGATGGCATCCAGGATTAACCGTACTTTTACAAATAATATTTGTCATTCGTAATAATTGAATCTTTAAGAGATTGGAGTGCAAGTCCTGTATTTACAATTTTATTGGTGGTGCTTCGAAATGTTGTGATCAGTTCATAAATGCAGAGGAATTAATACTCATTAACTTCCCAGTGGGAAGTTATTGTAATGGGTTTGATTTTGCAAAAGAAATACGTCAAGGTCGGAAAATGCTAATTATCACATTTACCTTACACTCTTTAGATCTCGTCGTTTTTTGTGCCGAATGAAAAATTGTATAAAATAATAAAACATATGATATTTTTTTATTCTTTCGATTGGGGAGTTAGTTGTGTGGACCTTTCGGGTCGCACCTAGACCGCTTTTTTAATTATTGCCATTTTAACCGTGTTTGAAAAAAACGAATAGATTATTTTTCAATTCGACTGTTTTACAACACTTTTAGACTCCTTTTCATAATGAGTTTTACTTTAGTAAGTAATTTTAAGTAAAAGAGGAGATAAGATTTAAATGTAATTAACACTTTCTTTATCTTCTTAGTCTGGAATTTCATAAAAAAACTAAATAAACCGAAATAAGTAAAGCCTATGACTACTTTAAAAATTCTATCTGAATGTTATTATTTAAGTTGTAACAAAAATCGTAATTTTTTTATTTTATTTATAAAGATAAAAAGTGGAATTGATCATATACTCACCACTTTCTCCTCCTTTAAATGCTCAGGAAATTCCTTCTTAACAATATCAGCATAAGCTACGAGGACCTTTACGATGGTTTTTGCAAACCTCTTCATGTACCGCTTCCAAATTTCTGGATCTGGACACTCGAGCTTAGACACTACGTCGAAACACTGAGTCAGTTGAGTGAATACGTCAACCACGGAGTTGCTGAATAATGCATGTTCACTGGATTTTTGGAACTGAAACAAAAAAAAAACTGGTTTTCAGATAAAGAATAAAACACAAAACACAAAACATCAAAACAAAGAAATAATTTTAATTTTTCATGTTCAATTTCAATTTTTATTTGTTGTCTGAATGTAGTACATAATATAACTATCTTATTAGTTATTAATGAAACTTTACATTCTACCACGATAATGGTGCCATGGTACCTCAGATGGTTAGCTCTTGCTGTTAATTTCACAGTACGCGAGCATCTCGGGTTTGATCTCCACAGGCACAAATGAAATTGTTAATTGCAATTTTAAGTGCCAATTTACCACGTGCTCAGGGGTGAAGGAAAACATCGTGAGGAAACCTGCATGTCTGAGAAATAAGCAAAAAATATTTTCCAGACATGTGAAGTTCGCCAACACGCATTGGGGCAGCGCAGCGGACAATTCCTTGTCATAAAACTCTCTCGAAAATGAGAGGAGTCCTATACCCAGCAGTCGGACGTATGAAGGCTGTCACTTTAACTTTTGTGATAATGGTGTGTATCAATAATCTTTACATATATACTTAATTCTATTATTA